TGTAGTGCGTATAGGCATGTTCTAATACAACACTGCATTATATATATATATATATATATATATATATATATATATATATATATAAAGAATAATCACACATAGAATTAATCAGAAGTATAAATGCGATTGATCTATGTGTGATTATTCTTGTATGTAAATCATATGCTGCCTAATGTTTTATGTTTATATATATATATATATATATATATATATATATATATATATATATATATATATATTGTCTGGGTATTTTTTATTTAAAAATTTATCAACCATTTACTGTTTAAAAAAATCCTGTAAATTTAATTTTACAAGGTGAAAATGATCATTTTCATTATGGTATCTTAATCCCATTTGGATGAAATATATATATTCAAATGTAATGAAAACGAAAATAATATATAAATTCTAACAATTCAGTTCTAGCCATCATTTTAACACCTCAACCATCGTTCACCAAACTGCTAGCAACAAGCACTGTTGTTTCACTGCGTTACCTTTTTGACTTTATGTATTATGATGTTTTTCAAACAAATGGAAAAAAAAAAAGAAGTGACGTTTCACATGCGGCTTGCGTACAAACAGAATTGTAGTGAGTAAATTGTTTTTGTCTATATGAAAATATTATATATATATATATATATATATATATATATATATATATATATATAAAGAAAAAGAAGAGAGGTGCCGCTAACGTTTTTGGTTGTAATGTGGATTTATTTATTTAGAAAAAAATATTATGCTTTGTTTTACATAATTTTACGACACGTGTTTCTGGTCTCGCGACCGTCTTCAGGTAAAAGTGGAGATTTCCACCTATTATTAAAAATAATTAATTTTTCCTCATGTTCAATGTTAAATATTCTCGATATGAGACATTTTCTGTTTGTGTGTTGGTAATCTGAATTACTTTAGGAATGAATTTTGCATCTATTAATACAAGATATTTCAATTATCGTTAAAGCGTTATTTGTATATATATATATATATATATATATATATATATATATATATATATATATATATATATATATTTGTGTATTAGGAACAAATGTAGATGGTATATGGATCGGAATCCGACAGAATGATGAGATAATGAACAAATAGGAAATGTTTATCAATCTGACATGTTTCACTTTTACTAAAGCTTTATCAGGTAATTAGATATTGAGACAAAGATGAAAAAAAATCTCTTATTTTTATTTCTGAGTTGATTGATTTCCATTGGTTAATCACGTTGCACTTGCATTCGCCACGTTGAACAAAGGTTAGTTTAATTTGTGGCGCTCATTTGAAGTTTCAAGAAAGTAACGGATTCCATACCAAACTGAGAAACCATAAATATGGCTTTATGTATTCAAGTCTGTAATAATTCTAGTTTGTCGGATTCGGATATGTATATTCCTAAGTATGTGTGTGTGAATGGCTAGCAGACATCATATTTGGCTGTTTGTCGCATGCTGATTTGGGAACGTTTTTACGTAGACACCGTTTGTTTTATATAAATATACATTAGATTCTTTAAAATGCATTTAATTAAGTTTGGCGATGTAATATAATGTTTTTGACGTGTGTTTATAGTTGGTAATAAAGTTATTAGTAAACTCTTGAAGTACTTTCGGCGTAAAGAATTATCTTCTTTTATAATAATGTTGGCATTTGTAAAATCAAAATTATACCCAATTTTGTTCCTGTGTATTACGAGAAAGTTCCAACGATTGTTCAAATGTAAGTCTCTTTTATGTACGTAGATGTGGGATTTTAGATCAAGTGATATCTCCCCGATATGCATCCTTTTCCATTGTAAAGATGACATCGAAATTGGTGTTTGATTTATTTTCTTATTATCTGCCATTGTTTTGGACACAGTCGTAGATATCCTAGGATTAGAGATAACTAATTTATTTACAATTTATGAAGAAAGATTATTAGAGTACGATTATGATTTTTTTTTATTGGCGGTGTTGTTAGATGTACTATCAATGATGTCTAGTATTAACCACTACATTTCTAAAAAGCCGTATTTACACATTTAAGTAAAAAAAAATTAGTGAATTGATAGTTCTAGTTAAAAAAAAAGGGCTACGCTTATTCACACATGTGGAGTGTCGATATTATTATAGCGATAATCATCATCGTCAAACCAGAATCAACAATCCACTTCACAGACAGAACCTTTGTTTCCCAAAACAGGTAGGAAGGTACATTGGCCTTCTAAATATCGCTCCTATAAGACATATTGAAAAATTATGTTATAATCCTCCAATCTTGAGGGGGTATTATCGCGATCATCATCATCGCACACACACACATACACCCTTACAAATTCAAATCTTTAACAGTATTCATTCATTGGACAAAAAGCAACGCTGCTATCTAAAGTGACAATTTTAAAATCGCTATATTTTTCATATAGTAAATTTTGTGCACTTTTAGGAGAATTGGCACCCAGAAATCTTCCCAAAACCCAGGCACTGATTGGTCAGTAGCAACCAATCAGATTCTCTGCGTGTGGAGAATGATTTTTCCCGCGCAGATTCTTAGTTCGATGATTACCTTTATAAACAGAACAAAAAAATAGATCAACACCAGTGAGACTTCGACTGCTACTGGAATCCACGTCAGTCGAAGACATGCGCCCATCTTCTCACTTACTCTCAAACTGCATATTCTCTCACACTTACATAATTTTCCTCTTGCACAGCAGAACTGTATAAAACATTTATAACAGACTAATAACTCTTTCATTTCCTTTTCAGAGAACATTGATAAACTTTTATAGTCAAAGAGGGACTACTCTTGTCTAACTCATTGCATGCTTCTTTCTTGTATATATTCTTTATTGTACGCATTGTTGAATACAATATATATATATATATAAAAACAAATGTTTGGAGGTACAAAATTTATAAATAGTTTTAAAAACAAGGAAACCATTGATTTTAATTTTAAAAGTTTCTAGGGCCCTTTCAGTCAACATCTCATCAGGAGACAATCGTTGGATTAGCGAAAAGAATATTAACGATATTGAAGAGCAAAAAAAAAAAAGGGGGAAACACACTAAAATAACGAACAAGTATATATACTTGTAACGAGGGAAGGGGAAATCATGTAAATAAATTAGCGAGGGACAGTTAAAATAAAATATCCCCCTGCAGGTCATACAACCGGTCCAAACATTTTTTGCTAAGCATTGTATACCTGATTCGTTCACGTTTGTTGAACGCCTACAGGCCATACAATCTTGCCCTGATACTGATTTTATGTGTTCTTTTGATGTGTCCAGTCTATTTACCAACGTACCATTGAGGGAAACTATTGATACTTTGCAGACTTTTTATACGAAGGTAACATTGCTCCACCTCCTTTTCCTAAGGATATATTTATAGAACTCATGATACTATGTACTAGTTCGGTGGAGTTCAGTTTTGACAATATTATGTATAGTCAAGTGGATGGGGTCCAGATGGGCAGTCCCCTTGGCCCTGCTTTAGCTGATATTTTTGTGGGCTACCATGAGATGTTACTTTTCGGCAAAGTGTCTAAACCGTTTGTTTACGTTAGATATGTCGATGACACTTTTGCAACTTTCTCTAATGAAAGTGAGGCTGTTGAGTTCTTTAATGAGCTCAACTCCTTACACAGTGGTTTGTCTTTCACTATGGAAGGGGAGAAGGACAACTGTCTGCCTTTTTTGGACGTTTTTGTTGAACGCAGTAGAGGTGGTTTTATTACTAGCATCTATCGTAAACCCACCTTTACGGGACTTTATTTGAAATGGCGTTCATTTGCTCCTGCATCAAGGAAAATCAATCTTGTTAAAACCTTGGTGTATAGAGCGCTTAAAGTGTGTTCTCCAATTAGATTGGACCGTGAATTTGGGAACATTAGGAGATTTTCCTTAGTAACGGCTATCCGGAGGCCCTTATTGACTATATTATTAGTAAGAAGACTAAGAATTTCATTCCCCTAAAATCCTGGGGCCTTCTAAATGTCCGGTTTATTTGAAGATTCCCTGGATTGGGGATAGTGGTCAGGGCTTAATTAAGCAGGTTAGCAAGTCGGTTTCCGGTTGTTTCCCATCAGTTGCTTTACGTAGCATTTTTCAAACTAGGTCTGCGTTTCCGTCTTTTCGCAAGGATGTATTGCCCTACATCAAATTGAGTAATTTAGTATATGAATTTAATTGCCAGTGTGCTGCTGGTTATGTGGGGCGTACAACCTTGCATTTGGAAACTAGAATTAATCAGCACGTACCTTCCAAAATACGACTTGGTAAGACAGATAGAATATGCTATCTTCCCCCCATGAATATGGAATCGGCTATTGCTCAACATTTAGTTGAGAATATAGCTTGTGCCAAGTTGTTTAAAAAAGAGTGGTTTAAAATTATTCATACAGCCGATTCCAATAATCATTTGAAGATTTTGGAATCGGTCTGTATAGGATTAAGAAAACCTTCTCTCTGCCGGCAGAAAGAATTTATAAGGTCTCTGAATCTGTTGGGGGATATTTTATTTTAACTGTCCCTCGCTAATTTATTTACATGATTTCCCCTTCCCTCGTTACAAGTATATATACTTGTTCGTTATTTTAGTGTGTTTCACCCTCTTTTTTTTGCTCTTCAATATCGTTAATATTCTTTTCGCTAATCCAACGATTGTCTCCTGATGAGATGTTGGCTGAAAGGGCCCCTAGAGACTTTTAAAATGAAAATCAATGGTTTCCTTTTAAAACTTTATATATATATATATATATATATATATATATATATATATATATATATATATATATATATATATATATATATCTTTTGCCTTGACCCTTGTTCTTATATCAGTTTGGGTACCTAAACAAAAAAATTAAATAAATGTGGTGAGAGGTCTAGACACGCTACATCTCATTGATAACTCCGAAGTTCGTTTGGAATTCCGCCACCTTATCTTCCGGCTTTTTAAATTTTTAATTCCCTCTCCACCGCTTACGGTTGAATCATGTTGAAACACAAGTTCTCGTAGGATCACCACAGTTAAGCAACGTCGAGTCTGGTTAGTACTTAGATGGGTGACCGCTTGGGAATACCAGGGGCTGTAA